ATACGCATCAGTAAACGGGCTTTTGGTTTTCTATCCGTTTATGAATATTTCATTTCAGCTGAATTAAATTGAAAAAAAAACTGTAATCACACTGAATAAATACCTCCAGCCAGAAAAAAAAAGGAAATAAACTTTTCTTTCAATTTTCTTCGGTTTTTGGCCGATGCAATGAAAAAAAAAATGTTCTTGTGCAAATGAGTTAAATTTGGCTTCTTTTTTGGCGATAAGTGTTTGCAGTAGGAGTCGTTTCTCCTCCTTTCGAATTTTCATGATCCCGAGAGATATTTAACTCTTTGGAGCGGGGACTATTCTGTTCTTCTGAAGGATTATCCCTTGAAAAGTTGCAAAGAGCATTTTTAACATGGTCTTATTTGAAAGAGAAGCTCAAGAAAATTCTGGAAACTGCCTAGCGCTCAACATACAGTGATGCCAGCAGAGTTATAAAACATATAGTCTTACCTTTGACTTTAATTTTCAATGAATGGCTCGATGTGGCCTCCACCACGATCAACCACTGCTCACATTCTCAACAAGTCTTCATGTGTTTGAACTCTTGCAATGCGAAGACACGATGAAATTTCTAATTTTTCTCGCCGTGCAGCTTTTTTTGGTGGTATGTTTTTTTTTTTTAAATGGGCATGGCAGCCATGGTATGGGAGCTATTGTCATAAAACCATATACCACTCGATAGGAAATTAATTGAACTTTCGTTTGCTTTATATTTAGTGTCGCTAGCATGAATAGTTTTCGAGAAAATGCCATTTGAAAATAGGTGCACTTATTTTGGGCCCCCCTGTATATCTCATCGCCTTTTGCGCCTCATTGCTCGCGTCAGAAGTCCTCCCGTCGCTGGATGGTTCCGATACCTGTAAGTCACCAGCTTGTGTGTACAGCATGTCGAGGTGCAGGAGCATAGGAGTCTTGCAGTCAAACATTAGTTTCTTCGTCTACAATTTTTACTTATTATTCTCGTTGGAGAAATTCGAGGCAACGAAGGAACTAGGCTTCTTGCACTTCAAATAATACAGCATCATGCCCCTCAAATAAAGAAAATGAATATATTCGCTGGAGCTTACAGAAAACAGGAATTTCTTAGGAGCACGGACCCTCATGCAGTTCTGCCTCAGCAACTGCCCATTATTTTGTATCGGGGAGCAAATGTTCCAATATCGAGACATACGAGGGATAGCAGAAAAGATCCCGAATCTTAACTAATTTATCTCTGCTCTTGTTGTAGACTAGTGCAAAAGCCCGTGCAAAGTGCTGAAATAATTCCAATCAGAACATTTCGCGCATGACTTCCTGCTCTTTCTTCGTCAGTTTCACTGTTTCTGGAGGCAGTAGCAGCGTTTTGTGAACTTCGGCATGCACTTTTATCCACTGTCTGGGACTCCAGAACTGAATTGCTTACAGTTCCCCACTTTTCGGGGCATTTTGAGAACGCCAAAATAAGAATATAAATAATTTTGGAGCACCAATAAATTGCTGCAAACATACGTGAAGCACTGTCTTAAACCGGCGACGGGACTGGGACGCGATATATGATCATTACCAGCAGTTTGAATAGCAGCAACGTCAGTAGCCGACAATGCCTCATACTGTCATTGTTGGTTGTGTGCACACAGCCCAGGAAGGCATTCAGTACTATGCTATTCTTATCGCTGAAATTAGGCCTTATGATGTGAAAATTGTAGAAATTTTTGAGCTCTCGGCGCATTAGTAATCACCACCAGGTTTCGAATGACACCTTTAGTTTAAAACTGAGGCGCACAAAACGAATTTGGAACTCTTAGTAATGAGATGGAGGGCTGGAGGACGGTTCTCTTCATCATAGGCTTCCCATTTCCCTTTTGTAACGAAGAGTAACGGTGAGTTCCACCGCATAGCATTCGGAAGGAACACAACATAAAAATGGCAAATAAACATGCTTTCGATCTATTATATGGGGATGCGTTTTTTCTATAAGGAAACCCCAATCACCTCCATGCAGATGTTCAGCGAGTTTCGCTTTTGGACTTTTTTCATCCAGGAAGTATCCGCCTCTGGTCATACGCTTACGATCGACAGACATCTCACTCGTGAAAATCCATTCATCCATCTAAGAATTTCCCCAGAATGTCGAGTACCGTAAATGCCACAACCCTCATCCATGACGATATGCAGGGACGCACGTGTTGCCACGGTGGGAGGTGACTCGCGGTCAAAGAGGGGGTGACGTACGAACGAGTTCAGTGTATTGGGGGAAATCGAGGTGGTGATACGAGCTTCACGTCTTTACGTCGTAGCTTCACGAGAACCGACCTGGGATCGAGTCGGTTTGAAACCGACAGGATGGGCTTGCGTCTCTCGTCTCTCGTCGTTCCACTGGGGGGGTTGGAGGGCCTTTCTGGACGAAAACGCTAAGCTGCCATCGTATTTGGTACCGATACGACATACCGGCCATTTTGACGAAGCCGGACGACACTCCAATCGATCGATATCGTTCCTAGAGCCAGGTCTAAGCGATCGTGTGGGGAATGGGGAGTCTCCCCGTGAGACAACTATCAAGTGAAAGCCGAGTTATTAGACGTTACCGATCGAGTGTCCTAGGTGATGATCCTGCTTGGTTTCCCAGCTCTTAGCAGGATCAATAGATACAGATAGACAAATCGACTTCGCCCCAGTTCTATGGCTTTCCCCCCCCCCCCCCCCCCAAAAAAAAAAAACCAACTTTTTACTGCTGGGAATGGGGGATGCTTTGGCATCCTTCAGTTTCAGTATCCTAGGGCGTCGAGTTTTTGCTAAATTACACTTCTTGCGACATTCTATGCCCGATCTTTAACTCCAGGAAAAAGTACACAATCGTACTTTAATTACACGCATTTAAATACGGCTGGCGATGAGCAGCACAGGTCTGTGCCTTCGTCAGACGCAGGAACAAAGGCGTGATGTCATCGCAGCACAGGAAACGGCATCGTTCACTTGCATCATCAATGTTCACATTCCCCACATCGCGCACATTCTGCACGTGTCAAATCCTCGGTTCTCGTAGGCCGTGCAGCTGAAGGCCGTGGTGGAAGGGTGTGGTGGCTGAATACAGATAAGGGTCGACCCTTTTGCACTAGCGTCAAGAGGGAGAAAAAATATCATTTAGTTTCTATCTGGGAACACAAATTCTTTCGCTTCGTCATTTCATTATCATTTCATTCGATTTCATTATAGTCCTATCCGATATTTTCAGCTTGGGTTTCTGTGGACACTCGGCCATGCAACGTCAAAATGGGGCATCGAACTTAAAGGAAATAACAGCCAACATGGATTCAGTGGTAAATACGAATCTATTCCAATTTCCAGGAGCCACGTGCATCACAACAAGAGAAAATAAAATATCCAGAAAATCCATAAATAGCATCCATATTCTGATAATCCATTCAAATACACAAATTTGGTTCTCTCTCAGGGACAAAAATGATAGAAAAAAAAACATAATAGTAACATAACAGTAAATGTCCACAGCTGCGGAAGACACCAACCAATGAATGCAAACCGAAATATCGCACACTCAAGCCCTGCACAGACATCACAGGGCCGGGCAGTTGCCGAGTCAGAAACGGGTTGTGGCAAGCGAGATCACTGGGAGGTTCACTTCCCTGGTCGTCATACATTGAAGACAAGGACATCAAACAGTTTCCTCGGCAAGAAAACGTGTTGCAATTCGGTCAACGCACTGGTGAGCACTGGATTCCTCATCCCCGATTGGATGCACCTCGTCTGTCGCAAGAACCTCCTCTCCCTCTGTCTTTCTCCATGCCTCTCTTGTTTCCTGGTCCGGATGGGGGTCAATAAGGTCGTGGGGTCCCGATTCAACCATCCTCAAGGATTTTTGAGTAGTTGTTGATCATTGGGACCTCCCTTGACAGGAGGGAGGTAAGCAGATCGAAGCACAATTATGATGATTAATATTTTAAAATAAAAATAGGAGCTAAAGGTGTGGTGGGCCCCGCTGCCATGTGGTGGACCATTACATAGCCCCCGCCACACCACGGTGAGATCCTCCCGACACCTGGGCTGGCAGAGTGCAAAACCCTGGTGAAGCTAATGACGTAGCCTTGGGAAGGTGTCCCAAGACTAAGGCGTGACGACGAGTCTGTTTCCAGACTCAGACGAGTCTGAAAACAGACTCGCATGAGTCTGGGAGCAGACTCGTACGCCACGCCAGGATCCCTCCCTTATTTCTTTTTTAGGTTTAACTGTTAAATTTAATTATCTTGAACGAAAAAGAGCGGCCATTTAATAAGAAGCAACCTATCTTTTATTAGGTTAGTAGGTTGGGGCAAATTAATTTTAGGTCCACCTATTAAAAACCTATCAAATTATGTCTTAAATTCTTTAAAGTGCTTAATTTAAAGAGTTTATTTTAAAAATTCATATTAGATTTACATCCTGTCATAGGTGAGGTAGGAGATAAAAGCCCCAAAGAAGAAAAAGGTGATGACCGGGGCCAGCTGGCCAGAAGGGCCTTAAATGTTGCGCTGGCGAGAAAAAAATTAAGAGATTACGAACTTACTTTACATGCAGAAAGAAATTACAAAATGAGCTTTAGGTATGGCCGCAAAAAGAGAGTCATTAAAAACTAGATTAAGTTCAATCCAAAATTTCAGAAATAAAATAGGAAAAAAGCAATCAAGCAAATGAAAAGGGCAAATGAAAAAAAAATTAGAAAAGTTAATGAAGAAAAAAGAATAGCAAGCACAAAAAAATGAACTGAAAAACAAAAGAAACGAAAATGTCCGATTACAGCTACAGTTCCCAGTTATACAAAATTGAAAAAAAAGAAACATGAATGCAAAACAAAACAAGTCCGGTTATGGCCACTGTAAGAAGCAACATAAAAAATTTATACAAAATTCAAGAAGGAAAGGGAAAAGGGACATTGTTAGTGGGTGAAAGTAAGCAAATGACAATGAAAGAAAAACTCACTTAATTAAAAAAAAGAATACAATAGGAAATGGAAATGAAAGTTAAATGAAACCTCGACGCTGGAGATAGGTGAGGTCCGGCGAAGAATTGTCGTCCTCTTGAAATGGCTCCTCCAGGTCCCGAACACCAAACCTGGTGTGTCCTGGCTGGAACGGGGTGGCTAAAGGGGATGGAAGTGATGAGTGAAGTCCCCCTACTAAATGGAAGGAAGAAAGCATGATGCATTAGTAAAAAATGTCAAGAGTAAAATATTTTAAGGGGAAAAACTGCGAAGGAAAGAGTTAAATTAACGTGGGGAAAGGGAAAAGGGACATTGTTAGTGGGTGCAAGTAAGCAAATGACAATGAAAGAAAAATTCACTAAATTAAATGAAAAGAATACAATAGGAAATGGAAATGAAAGTTAAATGAAACCTCGACGCTGGAGATAGGTGAGGTCCGGCGAAGAATTGTCGTCCTCTTGAAATGGCTCCTCCAGGTCCCGACGTCCTCTCTCGAACTGAGGAAAAAGGAAAGGGAAAATCATCACAATTTGACAGCTCCAGCAATGGGAAGAGAAACTAGCAGATCGAAGGAATCTTCACCAAACCTGGTGTGTCCTGGCTGGAACGGGGTGGCTAAAGGGGATGGAAGTGATGACTGAAGTCCCCCTACTAAATGGAAGGAAGAAAGCATGATGCATTAGTAAAAAATGTCAAGAGTAAAATAACATGAAGCAAAATCGCAAGAAATACAAGACATGGATAGCAACAACACGATAAAAAAGAGGCAAATGACAGGCATGAAATTCATATGAGAACGCGAATTCTTATACAATGTATCGAAATGGGAGGGGAAATACAGACAAAATAAACAAGAAGAAACAATGGGAGAAGAAATACAAATGACAATTTTTTAACAGTGGCCAAAACCGGACTTGTACCCTAAAGTCAGCTAAAGTGAGCTGTCTCATATTCGGGAGAACCGACCATGAGGCAGCCCAACAGCTGACTGAGGAAGGGGCGGATGTGAATCGCTCGGGGCTGGTGAGGGTTCCTTGGATCCGTGACTTTTCCCTCCTTTTCCCCGAGGCTCGTTTACTTCCGTCCTTGGAAACTGCACGGCTTTGGGGCAATGCCGTTTTATCTGATATCGTAGCTCAGGCAGGTCTGCTTGACAACAGAGAGATTTTTGAGGCGTCCGTTGCAAGGAACCAAATCAGCAACATATATCTTTTGACGAAAAGACACTATCCAGGACACTTCATATCAGATTAATGAATGGGAAAGAAAAACTGCAGGAAAAGAAAATACTCGGAGAAGCCGCTCTTCATATCGAAAATGATGGGACACCATCCAGAATTTTACATCCAATGTAAATTCATGAAGGGAGAAATGGAATCTGGTTTTTTTTATTGTTAAAAAATATATTGCCTCTGCGTCTACTCTCAGAACGTAAATTTTGGGTGGAAACCGACAGGATGGGCTTGTATCTCTCTTCTCTCATAGTTTCACTAGGGGTTAGAGTTTCTTTCCGGACGAAAACGCTTTGCTGCCATCCTACTAGGACTGGTTCTACATTTCGACCGTTTCGATCGAAGCCAGACGACAATCAAATCGATTAATATTGCCCCTAGCGCCAGGTCTATGTGATAATGTGGAGAATGGAGGTTTTTCCCGTGAGACATCTATTAAGTTAAAGCCGAGTTAGACGTTACGGATCGACCCTCATAGGTGACACCGCCCGCTTTCCCAACTTGTTGCAGGTTCATTTGATACAGATGAACATGATCAACCTAACCCCAGTTCTCTGGCTTTTCCAAAAAAAAAAAAATTGAAACTTTTTGCCACCATTCACCCAAAGACGGTCGCCCAGAATGATGTCATACACGAAAAGTGGAACGGAAACCCAAAGTTCAGTAAAATACAGTGAAGTTTCAAGTTGAAGAGTGAAGCAAAACACCCACGGAACGGAGGTAGAGGGCGACGATTGATGATTTTCCTTTTCTTTCCCCATCATTCCCGCTATTGAGCCAAGGTTTCCCTGCGAATCAATGCCGAGATGAAATTTCTGAAGGCCATAACATCCGAGCGCTCGATCGATGTCTGCTAATTGCATGCTGAACATCCCCGGCAAACGATGGAGTTTCATTGAGGAAAGGGCACAAAAGACGAAAACGTGGACTACCCCATCGGACCAGCGGTGACTGGTGAAATCGACACCTGGAAGAAACGTCACCAAATAGAAGGCATTCACACTCCACAGCCAAAAATCTCTAGATCGGGAAGGCGAGGGTCCAGGGTAAATCCGCCCAATCTGTCCAAATTTTGAAAGGTCTGCACTTCGACTATCCACCAGATGTAAACGTTGAAATTACTTTTAAAATTAATT